GCGGAGGCAGTCCACACCCTGGGCCTCAGGCCCCAAGGCCTGCAAACGAGTTGCCGTCTGCTCCCCCCTCTGTGCATCCAGCACGGTCTTTGGGCCTCCCTGGAGACCACAGAGGAAGATGCCAGAAAACTGGTGGCAGAGTGGGGAACAGACCCCATTGTGGGCTCCTAGGAGTCATCTTGTGCCCGAAGCTGGTGCTGTGGGGCCGAGGGAATGTTTGCTGTTGACAAGAGATCCCCAGATGCTCCGGGTAAGATGTGGCTACCCAGGTGCCAGGGGGTGTTTGAGGAGCCTCCCGGGCCCCAGCCCAGCCAAGCCCAGGAGGTACCGGCCGCCCTAAGCCCCAGGCCTGCTGAGCCCTGCCCAAGAGCCGCCATGCTGGCCATCACCCACAGGCGTGCGGAGGCCGGCCGCAGGGTCTGGGAACAGTTCCCAGAGGCTGAGGGACAAGGCCTGCCTGGTCTGTGACCCTGCAGGGCACCCTATGGTGCTGGGGCACTGCCACGGGGAGACAGCCGCCCCCACAGCTCCTCAAGGCCAGGTCCACCCTGCAAGGCCGGCAGGTTGACACCGCAGGAACCTGGGCTTCCTGTCTCTCTCCTGTTTCTAGAAGGTGGGCAGGGAGACCACATCCTGCCTCTCCTGGGGTGTTCTTTCTTCTGTGAAAACACTCGGCTCTGGGACCATGTTCTCCGAATCCCCCAAACTATCTATCACTTGCCTGGGGCCTACACCAAGTGCCCCTGGTGCTTAAGACACCATCTACCCCCTCCAGGACTCCCCATCCGGTAAGACCCCACCCCATCATGGTGCGATGGAACTTTCTGGGCCTTCTAAAGGACCAACCACCCGACAGCTGCTCCCTGCAGTCCAGGCCAGGAGAGCAAGGCCCAGAGGGCACCCCGTGTCACTTGATCCCCACTTGATCCAGGTCACTTGATCCCCACCTGGCAGAAGACCTAGGAAGGCCCTCGCAACCCCAAGCCCCACAGAAGTGACTTCGCCAGGCGAGGTGGAGCGGTTGAAAAGCAGGCACACTGCCACAGTCTGAGAGACAAGGAGGCATGGGGACCACAGGAGTGACCCTCAGCTCTGCTGTAGGCGCAGGGCGAGTCACATGACCTCTGGCAAGGGGATTCCTGGGGGAGAGGCAGAGGGCCTCGAGGGCAACCCCACGTTCTCTCCGGACATGATACGTGGCAGGAAGGTCCGGCCATACTCAGCATGTTCGAAGACAGACCACCTTGACCACAAGTCCTCTACCTGCCCTTCTCACTCCCCACATCTCCTCCCCAGTGGCTCCTTTCCCAACCGGGCCCCTGGGCTGCAGCCTCCCAAGGGACCAGGCTGCGGTTGGAAAGACCCCTGCCTATTTCAACACCTCCATCGCCTTAACCTCCCCGTGCCAAGGGGCTGTCACCTGCCAGGCTTCGGGGCCCGAGTGCGGTGCCAGACCCCAAAGTTGGCTGTGGTCCTGTGATCCCCTGGCCCTGGGATCCCGGGACATACTGATGCCCCTCCCTTGGTCCTCATCAGCATCGTCAGAAAGGACATCCGGGCTTGGGCAGGAAGCTCTGATGACAAGGCTGGTCATATCGTGTCATCTGCAGCTGGGCCACTTAGAGGCGGGGTCACCCTTTGCATCCCCTCCCTAGGACATCGTGTGTTCCCCAGGTCGGTTCTCAAGATACAGGACCCCTGCCCAGATCCCTCTGTTGGCTCCAGTGCCATTGTCACATGCTGTCCCCCCTCCCCCCCC